TGAACACGTTTTCGTAAGATAACAGGCGAATCAGTGATGCTGTTAGCATTGTTGAAAATGATGGTTAGAATTCACTTAATATTGACGTCATTAAAAATTCAGGACGTAGATTAAAAAAAATACATTATTTTTCTAAATATTTATTCAAAAATGAACCAATTCCAAATTCTTGAACTCCTTGACGACAGAAGACGTCGAGATATAATTCAAAAGTATTTCGTCCTTAGAATAACTCGACAAATAATGTGTCTAGACTCCTCGAATAATAAACAAACAGATTAGCACTCACAATTGTAAACTATTGGTCATTTTATTATTTAGTTGATTGAATTACAATTAAAAGGTTGTTTACAAAACAATTAGACGGTTGTCTAGACTAACATTAAATCGAATTTATTTTGCTTAATGAAGTAATTGATAAGTGTACAAGTAAATATAAATGACATACCTACCTACCCACTGAAAACGTACCCTTACAATATAAATGGTGTTTCTATTTGTTGCGACAAAGTGATTATAAAAAAGTTTTAAAAAAGAATCACGTTGCCCTCACATTAGGATTTATTTCTATGTCGCCAGTCCGTTTAAAAACATACACATCAATCCCAGACCCGGAACAATAATTTGTGGATAAGAAAAAGTTATGTGTTATGTTTTCGGCTTACTCACGTAATAATTTGACGAGATACTCGACTAGTTTCAAGCCATGTTAGAGGCCCATATTCATGAGCAGCAAAAGTTGTTAAAAAAGACTAGAAACTAAACAGTGATATAGGCTACTTGTTTTTTTGCCTTTTTGCGAAGCTGTAGTCGAAACTGAGTTTCAATTAGGTCTTGACTAATTCATCTACTAGCAGACCGTCCCTGCTTCGAACGGGTATCTGACTACCCTGGTGTCAGCTATTTGTTTTGCAAATGAACGGCTATTCATTCAACGCTATTCTCCTTAACTTTTCTAAAGTTTTATTTCGTAAAAGTCTTCTCCTTATAATAACATACATAACAAAAAAGAATTAGAAAAATTGGTCCAGGCGTTGTTGAGTTATGCGCTTACCAACACATTTTGCGATCCATTTTTATATATAAGATAATTATAATATATGTATACAAGTTAAACATTTTCTTCTTATTTAAAACAGTGTAAAACCTTGTTTATTTTACTAGCGACCTCTATTAAAAGAAGTTGGTAAGTAAGTAAATTGTAGAACCAATTGCCTTGATGTTTAACTAGATGGCGTTACGGTGAACGAATTAAGATTCAAGTTTCTGTACATTGACAAACTAATTTGTGAGCAAACTTCTATGAATAATAAATTATTGTCCTAAGCTAAGCAAGATAGATATCTCGGGTGAATTTTGGGTCGGGTTTTGTACCAGTAATAGTACGGAATTCGTGTATGAAATGTTGGTGTAAGGTTGTGTGTGCAACCCTACTTATCCTTCGAAGACTAAAAGGTTGTAATCATAGTAATCCTGTTTCACAGTTATTATCAAATGACTTCTCCCGCCCAGGGTAAGGCGAGAGACAGTGTCAGACTTATAGTGACTAAAAAGCCCCGTTCCTTCTGTTGCCTCAGGCCGAGGCCACGGAACCACATTGCGCTTGCCCCGCCAGCCCTGCTAAACATCAGCCCTTTAGAGCCCCGTCTGTGGTGGTCTACTAGCTCTTTAAACGGCTCTTACGGTGGCCAGAGATCGTCTCTCGGTCCCCGATGCCCGGAGTGTCCGCCTACTGCGGGCGGCTGGGACGCTACGTGCTGGTGCTACTGGCTGTAGCGTAACGTGTTGCAGGCTCAATTCTCGCACGAACAACAATTTATGTGATCCACAAATTGTAGTTCCGGGTCTGAGTGTGATGTTTATGTGAATACGTATGTCTGTAAATGCACCCACGACACAAGAAAGAGTCCTAGTGTTGCTTTGTAAAGTATGAATTATTGCCATTAATTTTTATAATTCATGGAAGCTTCATATTGTAAAACTTTCCAATTTCTATAGTTACGCGTTTCCTGGAAACCGAAAAATGTTTTAGAAAATGGGATACAATAATATTTTCTTTTTTTTTACCTTTAGAAGGTTGGTTTTTTAGAAGAACAATCAAGTAATAACAATACATTTTGATTTCTAGAAAGGATTGTTATGGATAGATAAGCCCCAACTTCGCTTGAAAGTCGTCGCGTAACGTTGCGAAAATATGGACAAGAAACAGAATAAATTACCTTAATGTAAATAATTAACTAATATTATCAACTATTGAAAAATTATTAATTTTGTGTATAATTGTGGAAATTGAATGGTTTTTTTATTATTATTTATACATAGGAACATACAGGAACATACATTTATTGAAAATAAAGACTTACTCAAGTGAATGCACTGAGAAAAGCTCTACTAGTTTCAAGTCACAGTGGGACTCTTATTCATGGGCAGCGAGCTCGTCTAATTCAGTATGTGATATGATAGTTACTATTCAAAAATAGGAAAGCTAAAATATATAACAGTTTTACTTACAAAAGCTTGTGCTGATTTTTTTGTTGATAGGACGGCAAACCCGCAACCAGATTGCCTGATGGTAGGCAATCATTGCCGCCCATGGACACCCGCAATGACGGTAGAGTTACGAGTGCGTTGCCGACCTTTTGGGGAAAGGATTGGACCACCGGTAACCTTACTCACACGGTGAAACACAACGCTTTGGTTGTTTCACGCTGGTTTTTGTGAGGCCGTGGTATCACTCCGGTTGAGTCGACCAATTCGTGCCGAAGCATGACTCTAACACACTTAAACTTTTACTTCACTTACCAAATATAACACATCACACAATACGAATAGGAGACAAACAAGCTAACGGATCACTAATTGGTTAGTGATGGCAACTCCACAGAAGCCACAAAAGCATTGAATGCTATTTAAGACGAACTTTGCTCCTATCTTGGGGATTATATCGATTCGGACATCATCATCAGCCTATAAGTGCCCACTGCTGAGCAAAGGCCTCTTCTCACACGGAGAAGGTATTATTCACCACGCTTGTTCAATGCGGGTTGGCGATTCCAAACTTATAATTAGAAATTATAAGTCCAGGTTTTCTCACGATGTTGACCTTCACCGTATGTCAGTTGTGTCTAGATAATCATAGAAAGTACATATAACTCGGAAAAAGTCACATTGGTACTTGTCAGGTTTCGAACCCACACCCTCATGCATGAGAAGCGGGCTCCTTAACCTCCGGGCCATCACGGACATACCATTCGGACATACCTCCGCCCAAAGGTTATTTTTAATCTACCAAAATATGGAACTCCTCGTAATTTTAAAATTGGTTCTTGAAGTAAAGAAAATATTATGTCACGATGAGCGTTGTCAAAAACAGTTTAAAACTTCTACTGTACTTGTACAAGACTTAAGATACGAAGGTACACGCGAAGTCACTAATTTTGAATACTTCATCCTCACTGAAAGCGGACTTTTTACAGAAAATTAAAAAGAACAACAAATTGTTACTAGGTTTGTATTATTATTAAAGTGGTAATTTTTATCATTTTATTTAGGTAAATATTTCTTAAAAAAGTTACAAAAATTAAATGTATTTCACAAATTACATAAATATAATTTGGTTCTTGATTTATTGAAAAATAAATTATTTAATTCTTTCCATTGAGCCAACACACAAGAGCAGAAAAAAAGAACAGTCTACTAATAGTTTACTTTGATAGAGAAGACTATTCTGTATATGTGTACCTATATTTTTAGTAGTTTATAGTGTCTAAAGCTTAGTTTATAGCTCTAAATACACATAGTCACTTCAATAAGAAAAAGTCGCATTGGTACTTTTAAGGTTTCGAAGCATCGTGCATGAGGAACGAAAGCCTAAACCTCTGGATGACCAAGACTCTTAGTCTCTTACTTACATACACGACCACAAACCCACATCCACAACCAACAAGCATATTCCCGCTTTAGGAGATAAGGAAAAATTTTATCTGGCAAAAATAGTGTTTCAAAACTATCACCGCTAAGTCTACAAATAAGACCTTGTCCTTACGTGCAGGTCGTCTCGTACCAAAAGTCCAACTAAGTTAAATGATATAAGGAACAAAATAAATTCACAACTCGTTTTAAACATCGCCTTAACTTGACCCGCAGCTCAAGTTTAATGTTATACGACTTTGAACTTTATGTCAACTGAAGTGAAATAGTAATTAAGTATTTGTTACGACTTAAGTTTGTGATATTCATTTTGATAATTAGGCTGTGTTGTAGTGTAGTTTTGATAAGGAAAGTTTTTTTAACTTATTATGAAATTGCTAAGTTGGTGCGAATTTCTTAAATGACTTCGCCGCCCTAGGTGGAAGACACAGTGTTTTAGACTCTTGCCAGCCCTATTCCAGGTCTGACAGGCCTATCTCCTAGTAGGCCTGTCAGACCTGGCTGGCCGGAGCGGAGTGTATTGTTGCGTTTGCATCTGCAACCGGCTGAGCATCAGCCCTATTGGATCCTATCTGTGGTGGTAATCATCGATAGACGACCGTAGTACGCTTCAGTGTCGTTCTACCAGACAGGCGGCGAGCTATCTTGCTCACAGTGTTCTCGCGAGTGCGACGGCTGAGCTAAGAATTTTGGCTTAAATTATCAAGTTGGCTAAAGCATAATTAAGTATTTGGTACTTTACCGTAATGGCAAACGCAACAATACACTCCGCTCCGGCCAGCCAGGTCTGACAGGCCTACTAGGAGATAGGCCTGTCAGACCTGGCTGGCCGGAGCGGAGTGTATTGTTGCGTTTGCATCTGCAACCGGCTGAGCATCAGCCCTATTGGATCCTATCTGTGGTGGTAATCATCGATAGACGACCGTAGTACGCTTCAGTGTCGTTCTACCAGACAGGCGGCGAGCTATCTTGCTCACAGTGTTCTCGCGAGTGCGACGGCTGAGCTAAGAATTTTGGCTTAAATTATCAAGTTGGCTAAAGCATAATTAAGTATTTGGTACTTTACCGTAATGGCAAACGTGCAGACTGATCACCTAAAAAACATACCACCTACCACCTTGACTGCATGGTTGGCGCTGTGGCTGGGCAACTGGCTGCTGTGCAACGTGTCGCGGGTTCGATTCCTGCATGGAACAACACTGTGTGATCCACAAATTGTTTGTTTGAAAACGCACCCACGACACAGGAGAAAATCCGTAAAAATAGGGTAATGTTTTTTCTAAAAAAAATAATAAAAAAAACCTAGTACATTGGCGTCGTCCATGCACATACAGAACCCAGAATGCGTTGTTAGATTTTTAAGTGGGTACATGGATTTCAGGTGTGTGATATTTGGGGGTTGGTGGAGGGAGGTGGAGAGAGGCTTTAGTGAGTTGGGGGTTGAAGGTGGAAGGTGAAGGGAAGATTGTGGAGGGATGTTTAAGAAATTTGGGGATTGGAGATAGGAGGTAGAGAATTCTGCCGTCAATAGCATAGTTGCAGTAAGTCGGGTTTTTGTCAAAATTGAGTTAGATATACAGACGTGATCACGAGAACGAGATCTACGTATACATCTTACTCATTTATTTCTATCGTTTTTTAATTCATATTTAGCAATTAAAAATTTCCAGTAAGTTGAGCATTTTTTTTACATCACAAGGCATTATTACAGTGGGCACACTTACGGTAAAAAATCTTGTTCTGAGTCTCTCAGCATAAGTACAGTATGACTACTATACTACTAATATGTTAAGTCATTTACTTTATTAAAATTTAATTTGGGCCTAGCAAATAAACATTAAGAAGATATACTGTTTTGATCCCAAGCAGTTTCCCAATATTTACTAAATGAGTGGTCTAGTCTTAAAAACAATATGCCGCGGGACTGCATGTATGCTTAGTATTGATCCTAAGCGTAGGTTTCAGATTACTTACTACAAAGACAGTTCGATGCGATATTGAATTTATGTTTAGTAACGTAATCAGATCTAACATGAGGTTAATCATTATTTACAGAGCATATAGCCATCCTGTGATTATGTTTAGGCAGCAGTTGTAGCGTAAGAGTCAGGTGTACTTATCATGGAAGCTGTAAATTATCTATATTGTATCCATGCTTAGGAAGTACATACATATAATATGATCTAACGACTAATTATAAAAATTATAAATCGTTTTTACTGCACGTTTAAGTAGCTGCGATATAGTGCCACGTCATAAATACTGTGCAATTAAAGCTGCTTTACTGTGAACATAATTCGTCGTTGTAATCAAACGTCACGCAATTTATGTTATAACACAAGCAGTAAGGAACAATTGAAAGTATAATTATGTATTCCTTGAATACCTACGTAAACTTTTCGATTACTATGAAGACGATTTGCGAGTGCGCGAGGGTGCACGGGAGTGTGCGGGGTTGTGATGGGAGACTTCAATGCAAAGGTATACAGAATGGCGATGAGTTGAAAGTCGGGCCATTTGGATGTGGGCGGCGAAATCATCGGGGACAGCGCCTGGTAGACTTTATGGAGAGGGAGAGTCTTTATCTGATGAACTCCTTCTTCAAAAAGCGACCGGCCAAGAGGTGGACCTGGATAAGCCCTGATGGGACAACCAAAAATGAGATCGACTTCATTATGGCGACCGACAAGCGTATATTCAGTAATGTCTCTGTAATTGCTAAAGTGAAAACTGGTAGCGATCACCGAATTGTCAAGGGCATACTGAATATTAATGTCAAGCTGGAAAGGTCACGTCTGGTGAAGTCGACACTCCGTCCTTGCCGCGCTCAGATTCGGAACCCCGAAGCCTTTCAACTCCAACTTCATAATCGCTTCCAGTGCCTTACCGATTGCGAAACTGTGGACGCAATTAATAATGGGTTGGTGGAAACTGTCCGAGCAGTGGGGTCGGAATTCTCTAAGACCTCACGCCGAAACAAGCCTCGAAAGCTCGCGAACGGAACATTAAAGCTCCTGAAGCACCGAAACGAAATGAGACTACAGTCTTCAGCCGATATGTCAGAGTACGGTAATCTCAATAGGCGAATTTCAAAAGCCATGCGACGCGATTTGCGTGCATGTAATACTGCTCGAATTAAGGAGGCCATCGAGAGAAACCAGGTCACAAAAGTCTTCGCAAAAAAATCGTCTATTGGGAAAAGCCAAATAACGAGGCTGAAGACCGGTAATGGTAGCATCATTTCATCGAAATCGGAGATTCTGAGAGAACTCGAGAGGTTCTACGGACAGTTGTATACCTCAACACGGCAATCCATTGTCGGTGCAGCTCGGGACCCAAGAGCTAAGCTGACACGACACTATACTTAAGATATCCCAGACATCAGCCTGTACGAGATTAGGATGGCTCACAAGCAGCTTAAAAACAACAAGGCACCGGGCGATGACGGAATCACAACCGAACTTCTGCGAGCGGTTGGGAAACCGATACTTTTAGTCCTCCAAAAGTTATTTAATTCCGTCATAATCGAAGGTAGTACGCCCGAATCATGGCAAAGAAGTGTTGTAGTTCTGTTCTTCTAAAAGGGAGATAGCACTTTGTTGAAAAACTACAGACCTATTAAACTTCTGAGTCATGTGTACAAGCTGTTCTCGATGGTCATCACGAACCGTCTCGAACGCAGGCTCGATGACTTCCAGCCTCCCGAACAAGCCGGGTTCCGGAAAGGCTTTAGCACTATAGACCACATACATACGCTTCGCCAGATAGTACAAAAGACGGAGGAGTATAATCAGCCATTGTGTCTAGCCTTTGTGGACTATGAGAAAGCCTTCGATTCGATCGAAACCTGGGCAGTGCTGCAGTCTCTCCAGCGATGCCATGTCGACTGTAGATACGTCGACGTGCTTAGGTGTTTGTACAGAAACGCCACCATGCTCATTCGGCTCCAGGACGACTGCACAAAACCAATCCAATTGCAGAAAGGCGTGAGGCAGGGAGACGTGATTTTTCCGAAACTGTTCACGAACGCATTGGAGGACGTTTTCAAGCTCTTGAACTGGACTGGCTTTGGCATCAATATTAATGGCTAATACATAACTCACCTGCGCTTCGCCAATGATATAGTCGTTTTGGCAGAGTCGTTGGAGGACCTGAACACCATGCTCATCGACCTTGATGTCGTTTCCCAACAGGTGGGTCTGAAAATGAACATAGACAAGACGAAAATCATCTCTAATGTCCATGTTGCACCTGTACCGGGCGTCGGGGATCGAGGGACGATCTCCGGCCACCGTAAGTACGGGCCTGCGGTCGGCGAGTAAGGGCAGCTCGCCGCCCGACCAGAACCAGGCCCGAGCGTACGGCGCGTAGCGTTCCGCGCGCGCCTCAAAGAGCCATTCGACCACCACAGACGGGGCCCTAAAGGGCTGATGTTCAGCCGGGGTTGCGGGGTAAGCGCAATGAGGTACCGCGACCTCGGCACAGAGCAGGAGAAGGAACAGGGGGGTTTTTAGTCAGTAAGAGTCTGACACTCCCTCCTGCCCGGCCCTGGGCGGGAGAAGTCATTTGATGATTTTCCCCTCACAAAAAAAAAAAAAAAAAACCGGTCATCGTTGGGAACGATATCCTTGAAGTTGTTGACCATTACACATACCTTGGTCAGATCATTCAGCTAGGTAGGTCAACTTCGAGAAAGAGGTCGCCCGAAGAATCCAACTCGGATGGGCGGCGTTCGGGAAGTTACACAATGTCTTCTCATCGAAAATCCCACAGTACCTGAAGACCAGGATGTTTAACCAGTGTGTGTTGCCGGTGATGACGTATAGTATTGAGACGTGGTCCTTAACTTCTGGCCTTCTTGCAAAACTCAGCGCGCGATGGAGCGGGCTATGCTCGGGGTCTCTTTGCGCGACAAAATCCGAAATGTGGAAATTCGCCAAAGAACCAAAGTCACGGAAATAGCTCGCAAAATCTGCAGGCTAAAGTGGCAATGGGCAGGCCACGTCGCTCGAAAGACGGACGGTTGATGGGCCCGAAAAGTCCTAGAGTGGCGACCAAGGACCGGAAAACGTAGTGTGGGCAGGCCTCCCGCTAGTTGATTATTTTTAAATACATTTTTTCACTAATTGTTTTATTATCACCAGCCTGATATAATAAAACTTTTGAACCATATTATATTTAAACATAAATTCGTATGGTTACTTAGCATAAATACAGTAAATAACACACTTACTGTGTTTATGCTAAGTGTTCCTTATCAGAGAGCCTCTAAGAAATACTTAGTATAACAACAATGATTAATTTATTTGGTCTTTCAATAACTCAGTAATCGTGTCTAAATAAGTAATAGATAGAGGCTGAGCTCCTCTTTCATTTAAGGTATCAACCATCATGATCTGATTACAAACAAAGGATTTATGGAAGATTTTCGAGCCAAAACTTTAACCGCGTTTTTCTCAAAAGTGTCTAGAGCGTACTTACTGCAACTATGCTATTGACGGCAGAATTGGAGATGGAAGGTAAAGACTTAGATTGCGGGGTGGAGCTGCTGTGACACTTAATTTAAGATACTTATTCTAAATATGAATGTCCAACAAAAACCCGCATAATTGGGACTCACATTTGTAACAACACAATGAAAGTGGAACGAAAGTTATACATTGCATTTTGAAATGGAAAATTCGAATATAAATCATAACAGGCTATTTATATTCGTTTGGAATATAGAATTTGGCAGGTTCGCCAAGATATAGGAACTTTAAAATGTGGTGGCTACCTATTCGTGATTTATTCTGTCTGCCGTTATGTAGAAACATACCTAAGCGAATCGAAAATTTTGGAAGCATGAATCATGCATATGGTTGTTGGTTTAGAAAAAGAAAATTAATTTCAATGGACTTTGATAAAAGCGAAACTAAAAGCAAATTTTGCAATTTAATACTCAAACTAAATAAAAAATCTATTTTCCCATTCAAATCAAAATCATTTATTCCAACTTAACCATAAACAGGTTTCAACTTTGAAACGTATTAATAGAATATACTTAGTCAGTTTGTCAGTGAAGCTAGGTGCTTGTTCCAAAGTATAGATTTGAATGGAGAAGAACACTTAAGAAATTCCATCTTAACTCTTTGTTTTACAAGCTAACGAATACATTATTGAATACACATTATTG